ATCTTAGTTATACCAGTCTTTTGTGTTATGCTTATATTTGTGTATTGAACGTAATTGGCAGGTCGTGTGATTTCCCTCTTGGAAGTAGGGACAATTTGACCAAGGACACGCTACCTTGAGAACAGAAAGCCAACACTTTTAACACGACGAAGCTGCTTAATGGGTTTAAGTATTAAATTGAAAGCAACTTTGAAGTTTGTCGTCGTCGTTAATTAAAATTCACAAAATTAATGACATATTCGGTTAAAGGTTTTTTTTTTATTTTTGTACTAAAAAGCCATAAAGGTGATGTTGTAAATGAAGTTTTTTTTTTAGTATTGTGAATTAATAAAGGATTGTTTTCAGTCAAAAAGAATTATATGTAAAAAACAAGTCGAGAAAAGAGTTACACTGTTAATGTAAAACATCGAATTTTCTTTACAGGCGGAAAATTCCATTAAGATTAAATAAAACTTCTTTTATAAATGTTCATCTTAAAGAGATGATCAAAGATAATTTTCAAAATAAAAACAACCCAAGTTAAAGTAAAGAAAAAAATGTTTACCTGTTTAAAAGTTTATTCCTTCGGAAAATTTCGCAAGTGAAGAATCGTGGGGCCTGAAGTACGTGTAGTGCGTCAATGTGTGTATTGCAAACAGAGGCTGTTGACTGGAACTGTTTAAAGAGTCCGTGTATAGGTATTGATCAATATCTTCCTATTCAGGGAGGAGTGAGGGCCATATTGTGAAAGAGAACCCCAGCGTTTTCATTTAAAGGTATTTGTATTTGTCAAAATTGCAGATTTTTCATTCAAAAAATTCTTTTGAAAGAGAAAAGAATATACCGTTCCCTTTTTCATGGAAAAATAGAATAGACTTACTTTTACTTATTGAATTAACAAAGGTTCATTATTCTTATCGTTAATATACCCGTGGTTGAGGTAGTTTCAGAAGTTGTCATAGTTATGGACTTGGCCCAGTAAACAGTGTATAAAATGTTTGAATACTTTTAGTATACAATGTACCAATTTTACGAAATCTCGCCTACGCAGCTGCCATATATGGTTTAACTTCAAATCTTTTCTTGGAAGTCATGTCGGTGCTGACAAAGAAAGAAAAAGGAAGAAAATCTACTGAATTGCCAAAAAAGTATTTGTGACACAAGAAGTAGTCTTATCTCCGTCTGATCCAGAAAATATTTTTTTTATATTAGGTCATAGACATTTTTATTTGCTGCTGTAAGCCGTATGAAACTCTGTTATCTTAACCATAGGATTCATTTTCATATTGTACAAACTGGGAACTGTCTCTTATATCAATAGCTAGACATGAAATTTTATTTTTTATTTTTTTTATTGTCAAAACAGCATAGAATACTAAAAAATAAATCAAACTGACTTTTTTTGGTATGTCTGTACATATATTTGTAACTTGTGTGAAAGTTTCAATTAAAATAAAAACAAAAAACAAACAAACAAAAAAAAAACTTCATAATGGCCAATTTTTGAACAGGAACTTTCAGTTAGCCCCAGCAGACATGTTTTTAAAAACTATTTACTTACCAAGATGAAGAGGACAAAAACAGGTATGCTGGTACCCAAAGAACGGACTTGTTTCAAGAAATACTCATATGAAAAATAAAAGTTACAGCCCCAACTTATAAATAAATTATTGGTTAGGTTAGTCCAACAAATTGCGAGTAAAAAGACAGATTTACAAAGCAAAAAGTACATATATGTTTCAAAATTTTCGATTACAGAGACATAAAAACGTCAATAAAATATCTGGCTGAATTTCAAGAAAGTGTAAAAAATGCATGAGCAAATTCATATTTTTTAAAAGAAGTCCAGCATCTTTTAGTTAAAGGTGAAACACATGGAGATAACGAACAGTATTCAAGATCAAAAGTCCATAAAACAATAAAAACAAGCTAATTCAGAGAATTCGTGTCCCCCGCTTAGGGAAAAAGTCGGCTCCCCCTGACTGAATTTGTAGAATTATTAAATGTATACATGTATACTGAAGGAAATAAAATACATGTATGTCAATATGCATATAAAGATTTGATTGCTTATTCTTTATTATGTGTACAGAAGATTTTTTTATATGGAATATTTATCACACTGTAATGATGATTTTATAACCTCATAAATTTTTCATTTCACATGCTGAATACTATCATTTAGTAAAAAAAAAAGTATTTAAAAAAAAAAAAAAAAAAAAAAATGTTCGACCGAGATTCGATCCCGGTACCTCTCACATTTGAAGCGAGAGACATAACCACTAGATCACGGAGTCGCTTTATATGGTGACAGGTATATGCAGAACTAAAGCCACATACATGTATATATTCATGTTCGGTATTCTCAAAATTTTACACAATCCATGGTGTTTGATTTATTTAGCCTTTATTTAACAGTTATAATAAATGTAATAAGAACATAAAGTCCGCCGAGAACCTGTTTTATACACAATAACTCTCCTCATGCCCCTGCGCTAAAAATAGCGACATGTAATACTATAAATACTAATAAAACAAACGGGGCGGGACACTTTGAGAGGGGCGAGAGACGTCCTAGGGAGTTTTGCTATAAAATTACATTGCATAAGCTCAAAATGTTCTTGAAATATCGCCCGGAAATGAAAGTGTTACACACAGACAGAATGTATAAATTTACGACCTTGAACTTTGACCTTTTGACCTCAAAATCAATAGGGGTCTTCTTTAGGCCACAGGGAGTTGTTATGTAAAATTTCATTGCGATAGCTCAAATGGTTCTAGAGATATCGTGTGGAAACGAAAGTGTTTTAACAGACAGAATTTGCTTATTTATGACCTTGACCTTTGACCTTTTGACCTCAAAATCAATAGGGGTCTTCTTTAGTCCATAGGGAGTTGCTATGCTAAATTTCATTGCAAAAGCTCAAAGGGTTCTCGAGATATCGTGTGGAAACGAAAGCGTTACAGACAGACAGAAAGACGGACGGACGGACAGACGGACGGACAAACCCAAATTAATATCCCCCACTTTTCAAGCGGGGGACAAAAAAAGAAGGTGGTATTTCTATTTATAGGAATTACAGATTATTCAAATTCTTTTTAAAGAAAAAAAATACCGCTCCTTTCTTCATGGAAATAAGGCTTCGTTCTCGAGAAAATGCCCGGGCAAAATGCCATTTTTGCATATCATTGAATTTAATAATACATGTATTGAATCTAAAAAGAGTCTTTTATTCTTATGCTTAATAAACTGAGTACCCGTGAATGAGCAACAGAGGTGAAGATAGTTTCTGACTTGGCCAAATAAATTGTGCATAAAATGTTTGAATACTTTTAGCATACCAATTTTAAAGAAATCTCGCCTACGCTAGCAGGTGATATTACGAGTCGATGTATGTAGCCGACATGTATTGTTTAATTTCAAATCTATTCCTGGAAGCGTTTAGATGCTGACAAAGATGGAAAAAGAAAGGAAATCTAATGAAATGTCAAAAGAGTAACTGTATCCAAAAAAAATAATAATAATAAAAAAAAAAGAACAAAAAAAAAAAAAACACACAAAAAAACCAGCCATATCTTCGTCAGGTTTATAAAATTATTTGAAATAAAGTTTTTTTTTATTGAGTCATAGATATTCTTATTTCCTTATACAAAAAATGTATGAAAATCAGTTTTCTTATCTATAAGATTAATGAATTATTTCCATATAGTACAAACTGGTTCATGTAAAAATCTCATGTCAATCATTCGGCATAAAAATTTCCCTTTTATGTCAACTGAAAACTGAACTGAAAACTACTTTATATTGATCAATTTTCGAACAGCAACTTTCACTAAGCTCTAGCGGGCATTTTCTTGCATTTTCAAAACAGTGATGACGTTTTCTTTGCTTTGACAACGCCTCGTTCTATTCATAAGATTTGAAAACCTTTAGATTAATAAACAATAAATAAGATATGCAAACTATGCAAAATATGCAACAGCTTATGACAAAGGTTAAATAAACTGACAGCCCTAACACCAACCGTTAAATAATTTTTGCACACGGTTAAAATTTTCAAAAGTAGCTTTGACTCCAAGGTGAAAAGTAAGCGTCCAAGGAAGAGCTTGTCACGATTACATGTGTAATATGAAACCCTCAGTTGTTCCAAATCAGGCAAATGGTATAACCAAGGATCGATTTTGGTAGGTTAACCCCAAAAGTCAAAAAAATATTTGCAAGGTAAGGGTTTTTTCTGGGAAACAAACAATAGCTAAACAGAAAGATTGACAAGGCAAAAATTATCTGTTCCCGAATCTTCGATTACATGGGCATAAACACGCTGAATTTCAAGAAGGTGTAAAGAATGCTTGAGCAAATTCATAACAATGTACATAAAGTTACAAATAATACCCTTGGAAAAATATTAATCCTCCTTGCTCATAATACATATTACACGTTTAACAAATAATGGGCTCAAACATCATGACATCAAATGGACATTCTGTCCCAGCGTTGTAGTTCACTTCTTATTTCTTGTCGCTAACCTTAACTAGCGGCTATTCTGTATTAAATTAACAGTGACATTTTCAGTAATGTTACTGCGTTAGATTTTTTTCCCACTCATAGCATAAGATTTGCCGTTTAAAGTCTGATGCACTATTAAATTTGAAATGTTAAATACATGCTAAGGACGTTTATAACATATAAGCAGTCTACGAAAAGTTAAATGCTAAAAATTACTATAATTTATTTTAATTAAATAGTTTATTGAAGGTCATCCCAGTTACATTTTATGAGATAATGAATTTAAAACCAAACACTGAAGAAAAGTTTAAATGGTGTACTTTAATAGGTAATAGTAAAAAAAACATCCATATTTGTACATTTGTGAATACAATATAATTGAAAAATTATTTATCCTTATTGAAGAATTATTTCTGTTATTTGTATCAAATATACAATATTTAAACCCTTTTCTTCTGAAGTATCTTTTTCAAAAGCGTCAACATTTGTCTTCTCGGCATTTGAAGCTTTTTTCTCACTGCTGAAGTTCATGCTCTCTCTCCTCTACATTCAAACTCGAAGACCTAAGCCTAGAGTCAGAAAGTTCCCCAATCACAGAGTCGTAACTCCTTGTGTTAATCATACCAGTACTACTGCTGAAATGTCCTTGGCGTGGAATGTTCCCCAAATGTGGTTTCAAAGCTGGAATACCTCTGGTATTATCCGCTCTGTTACTTCCGTCTATCTCAGTAAACACACCTTGTTCCTCCGGTTCTCTGACAGAGACAGCTTGACAATCGTTGGTCCGATTTTCTTGTGGTTCCTCATCTGATCGGAGACCTTGGATATTTGGATTTCTAATTGTAGTTTCATCTTCCTCAGATGATCGCTGGAAAAGAAGAAGGAGATGGTTGAAAAACTTTTTTTTTACTTTCAGCATATAAACACGATCAAGATGATATTCAATACTTTCTTATTTTGGCAATATTCTGGAATAAATAGTTTACAATATTTAAACTTAAATACTAATTTATGTTTATGTAATGGATGCACTATATTTAATATTTTCAATCAGGTGCAATATCTCGGTCATAGTTCTTAGGTCAACATAACATCGAATTATTTTCTTTTAAACATGTTAAAGCAGACTTCTTTCTCTCTTTGGTGCAACATGTATGTTCTTAGCATTATTGCAAATGATTTGTTTCTCCTGCAGAACATGGCCGTGAGGGATTTCATTACTTCATGAAAAAAATTATATATCTCCAGTGAAAAGTTAAAAGAGAATATGTTCAGTGTATATTGCAATTAGATTACATATGAAAGGCATTAATTATACATGTATTTTATCCAATCTCAAATCCACTGATAGAAATTACTAAATTCCCATACCCTCCGACGGTATAATTTAGACCTTCCGGTTGCTAAATTATTGTGAACTTCTCTATTATTTGTGCGATTGTTGTCGTCATAAGTAGGAAAGTCAGTGAAAGAAATTTCAGCCAATGGAGTACGAACGTCACTTCCGATAGTATTGGTTGATGCGTCAACACTACGACGGGAATATGGTGGTGGATCATGAATTTGCGATGGGGGGTGATGTTCTCCCACAAAAGTTGGTGGGTACATCTGACCGTGTGAAGCGGGGTAGTTGGATGACTGATGAAAGGGATTATGGAAAACATGATTAGTATTCATTGGAAAACTGGAGTAAAACTGACCCATATGAGTTTGATATCCGTCATATGGCATAAGACCATGGTTTGTCTGTGTTGAGTAGGGGCGCGAGCTTTCAGGCATCAATGCATTCATTTGAAGATAGTTTGGGAATGGTTGCTGAGTTTGTATTTGCTGGGGTTGCATCATCATGTTTCCAAAGATACCACCAACATAGTTTTGTGAGGCACTAGGAGTGTTCGAAACCAGTTGAGGCGTTCCTTGTGTTTGATGGAGGTTCTGAACAAGATTTTGTACCGAAGGTATTTGGGCAGCACTTTGTTGGACAACAGGACAGTTATTGGAGCGAGATGCCAGACCACCTATTAGAGCAGAAATCGTATTATTTTGAGTGGGATTATTCGTTTCACTGCTCCCTCTCAAGTTTTGAACAAGAGAAGCTAAAGCTTGAAGACGACTGTTATTATTTCTTGCACCGTTATTGTTACTTCGATTATTCCTGTTGTTATTATCACCATCTTTATCGGTTTTGTTATTTTTGTTTCGACTGGTGTTGCTCGTTTTGTTGCCATTTTCATTTTTGTCTCTTTCACCGCGGTTTTTCTTTGAAGCTCGTTTATTTCTGTTCTTCTGTCCGTCTGTGTTGTTCTCGGCGTTTGTTCCACCGTTTGCTGAGGACGTCTGAGTATTGACGCCTATCTGATTTATCAATTGCGTGGCTTGTTCTTCGTTCTCTTCTTCTTCGTCTTCTTCAGTGTCTGTTTCATTTTCTTCTTCTTCTTCTTTTCTCTTCTTCTCCTTCTCTTCCTTGGAAACAGCTCGTGTCAGCCAAAACGAGAAGAAAATTAGGGTCAACTGCATTAAATAATGATATACTTGTCAGTAAAAATTACCTTGAAATTAAAAATCAAAACATGTTTCTGAAAAAAGCATGTAACTTTTACCTCAAATACTCCAACTGTTCCTAGACAACCAAAAGAAATTCCGTTCTGTTCTTCGATGATGTCCCACAAAGCTTTGTAGCAACCCTGCATATAAACATAAGCATCAATGTTTTGACACTTCAATTGATTATAATATATTCTTTTCTCCCTAGGATTTCCTTGTACATCATTTCAACATTCACATAGTATAAATATGTGTCTTTTATTTTACTTTTTATATAGTTTTGTATATATTTCACTGAGCTCAATAATTATATAATATTTTCTGGCTGTTTATGATTCATTAGAACACTGGTTGGCATAAATAATATTTTGTTTTCCCCTTTAAAAATGTGTGTTACTTGATAAAACAGATTACCGTTAGGTAATTAGAATCTTCGGTGGTAGGTATCACTGCACAGTCTCCGCCGACGTCCATTTCTTCCGGATTTTTGCAACAAGAGACTGGAGTTGTCAAAGTGACGGATAGGGTAATATTAAACTCGTCGACGTAAAAGTATTCCCGGTCCCAGATTAGACTCTTGTTGAAATCAGAGTAGTCCTCTATTCCACAACACGACAACTGAAAAAGGCCAACCCAGGACTGATATATCGTCTTAATTCATTTCGAGAATTTCATTTCGTTATTAATGTAAAGCGTTGATCACTCCAAATGAATATTTTACAATATGGGCACAAATAACTATTGTGAATTTAATTTACATGTATTTATTGAATATCTGCGTTACATATCTAATATACATTTTGTATCATTTAACAATGAAGAGTAAAGCTAAAATGATACCATTTACATTATTTTTGGAAGTTTTTTTTTTAAAACAATGAACCATTTAGATTATGTAACTGCTTCTAGAGTTGTACTAGAAATCTAGTTAATTTAATTGATTTCAAAATCAATACAGAAAATTCTTGGATTTTCTTTTTTCTTCATAATCTAAAATGACCGACTCCTTTTTAACGACCAGCTTGTGCGTGTTACTGAGTCTGATTGCAGCAGATTGGACATAAACCCTATCAGATTACCATGGACTTTGAGTGTGTGATTGCTCTATAATAGAAAATCAACACGCAGCATAAAGTGGTTCATTGTTCAAACTATATATAATATAAAAATCGAAGGAAAAGAACTTCCATGATCTTTCTCTCCACAGAATAAAAAAAAATCTTTAAACGAACATAAAATTAGAAGAAATTCTGTATTAGGAAGCAATTCAAAGAAAACCCGCTGAATTCAATTTCTACCCTTCTCCCCTTTGCTTCTCATCGAAAAGTCAGTTGTCAATAAGGATAAGAGATTCCTGTATTGAAACTTTCTGATCTGATAGTGCTAATGACACAGTAAGGTGCAAATTAGCATATTGATTATGTTTTATCTCTTCTGCTAGTCAGGTATCAATAATTTATTAATTGCAATTAATCAATTTTAGACTTACTCCGGACATAAAGAAATCAAAGGCCACAGACATGACGTCTGTTCCGTTGCCACCGACATATTGATTCTGGAGGAAACTCTGAAGAGATGGCTTCATGTAATCGTCTATCTGTAATACATATTTATTACATTACAATATAACTCATGTAATCATCTATCTGTAATACATATTTATAACATTACAATATAACTCATGTAATCGCCAATCTGTAATACAAATTTATAACATTATATTACAAGGTAATTCTTAGAAATCGTGTAATCGTTTCACTGTAACACAAGGAAATCCTTTAAACTCATTTAATTTACCAGCATCTGTCGTTATCACACATTCATTACATTACAATGCAATATAATTTTTAGAACCTGTATAATTGTTTGTCTGCAACACATATATTACATAACAATACAATGTAATTCTTAAAACTCGTGTTATTGTCTCTCCATAACATACATATATTATATTATATTACAATGCAATATATTTTAGAACTCAAGCATCCATCTATATGTAAAACACAAAGCATTGCAATACAATGTTGTTCTTATTATCTATCATTTATTATAATATAATTTTAGTACATTTGTGATATTACCAAAAGTATTTTATTTGAGTTTTAGGGTATTTTGATCATTTATACGAAGTAAAAGTTAGACGGAAACCCCACCGGAGAGATAGACACATGAGCATATTAAGGATTTAACGCCTCACGTTTATCTTTGCAGGAGTCGTTTGTTTGCAATGGCCGATGAAGAGTAGGTCAAATATTTATCAATATTTTAAATTCTGTATATTTCTGATTGCCCATCTAGGTTTTAAATGTCAATGATATAAATAAATATATTACACCTGGTATTGTGTTTTTGTAGATATCTCAGCACAGTTGGATTGCACAAATTAATTAAGGTAAATATATTTGAGTTACATAAGTATTTTTGGGATAAATTAAATTAAAGGCAGATTAATGAATTAATTTCAGAGAGAACATTGGATGTCAATTTTGGATAAGTAGGTTTTGCTGAATTTGTCTACTTGAAGCGTTTATTGCCAATCTGCGGCGTTAATATACTTTAAGGTGCATAGTAAATGAATGTTCAAATTGATGATTTAAGTGACCAGTAACATATACATGTACATATACATATACATGTACTACAGACTTTTATCACCAAAACTTGAAGAATCGTTTCTTCAATTGTCATCAGTCTCTCTCTCTCTCTCTCTCTCTCTCTCTCTCTCTCTCTCTCTCATACTATTGATATTGATTAATGGAAGTGAATTTGCTTAAGATATGATAATCTCACTAATATCATCTTATGGACCAAATAAAAATGGGGGATAACACTTCACACTTACTTTTCCTTGATACCACTTACCAAATTTCTCTTTGTTATCAGAATGACAATAAATGAAATTTCTCCAGCAAGAAGAAGAATAAGCATAAAGCCGTACTGCAAATAAAAAGACACTAGTATAAAATAGAAGTTATAGAACACAATGTGTCCTTGTTGGTTAGAGTCAAAGAGTCAACAACTGCCATATATCCAATATTTACCACTGATTATACAGACCTTTAAAGAGTTAACTGCTATTTATTTTAAAGCATATATTTTGTCTTTTTCACAAAAATAGTTATACATGTATATCAAACTTTCGTTATTTTACCAAAATTAGGAGTGCTTTGATCTTTTTCTTGGCTCCAAGGATCCCGATCCCGGCCACAATGGTCAACACCAAACCAATCGCAATCAGACCAAAAGCGGCATTCCCCACCAGAGCCGCTACATCTAGGCTAGAGAGATCCACCCCTCCTAATCCGCCCGTCATACTGGTCAAAGTATCTATCACCTTACCTATGACGTCATTGATGAGGTCTTTGGCAAATTTGACCAACATTCCTATCACCGCCATTCCTAGAGCAAGCAGCTAAAAACACCAGGCTTCTTATTACGTCGTATAAAAAGGAATAAGGATCAGAAACGGTTCTTTCTGAAAGGTTTGGGTTGGTTGTGAAGCATCTTGCTTAGCCAATGGCTTCTGGGCCGCCACTTTCCTCAAAACGATAGGTGTGGATCAGAAACCCTTGGCTAGCGAAGATGAATGAAGCGCAAAACAATTTCTTTTCAGAATGAACCATTTGGTGTTTATGTCTTACTTAAGGTCAGATGATACAAACCATTTTTTCTTTGGATGAGACTTAATATCATCTAACAGGTTTAGAAAAGTGGATAATTCTTTGAATTTTTTCTCCTTCGACTTGGAAAATGAAATAAACTTGGAAATATTAGTTAATACTTCAATATAATAACAAATATAGACAAATCACAATCAGTAAAGGTTTTCAGATGAAAACAAATTTCAGAATATGTAAGCTTGGTGCTAAAAGTATAATACAAACTTTACAAAGATATACCAAGCAAGGTAAATTTTACGAGGAAACGCAAATGGTGAAAAATCAGAAAAATCACAGAGGCTGATTTTTACCATTTTGCTTTTCCTCGTAAGATTCACCTGGCCTGGTATATTATTTAAAAGTTTACATTATACTTTAAGCACCAAGCTAACATATTCTGAAATTTGTTTTCATCTGTAAAACTCTATAGCTACTGAGTGTGATATGTTTTTGTTATGTTAGCAACAGCTAGCAAAGAAGATTCAATTAAAAAAAAATAAAAGAGTTGTTCACAGATCACGGCCAATTAAAGATGTATATAGTGCTAATTAAGTTTAACATGAATATATAAGATACAAAGAAAACTTTTGAAAAGTATAAAGGTTTTAATAATAAAAATGAAAACCAGGCACAAAATTTTAACCATAAATACCTTTTTTATATTCACAGTTTCTCATAGAAGAATCTGTGAATATATAAAATAGGAGTCAAACAGAAAGTCATTTGTTATTTGACCAGCGTGTGTCTCCTCAAGAGTGTAGAAATTGTTCATATGATAAATCGGAGTAAATTAAGAGAATGATACATGAACATTATCAGTGATTTTCTTTGTGTTTACGAAAACGTATTTATTGAATGAACTTGAAAAAAAATCATTTTTTTTTTATTCATCATAGGAAGTTGTTTTGATACATTTTCGAGCAAGATTTCCATGTTACATAAATTATACAAAAGCTTTTAAAATAAGAATTAAATTGAAATGAACGTAACCTTACCCCGAAAAATGAATTCAGGGTCATTAGACACCCCCTTCCACAGTTGGCCACGCTGTCCATTGCCATCTATCCTCAAGAAAAGCGGGGTTAAATTAAAACCTTAGTTAACACCATTTTCTTTTTTAAAAATTCTCAAAATGTTCAGATCAGATCAAAATGGTACCAACCTTTAATTGAAATTTTGTACGTTTATAAGACAGATTACATCCTTCCAACTACTTATACAAAATAACGAAGAAATGTAAGATTAAGGGGTTAATCAAAAATCAATGTATTAATGTTCTTTGACAAACATGTTGGCCATCGCAGTAAACTTAATTATGGGACAATGGGGTTACTGTAAGATAGCTAAGTTAATGTTATCAAACAAATAACCTGAATAATATATTAAGGCTCCTATGTAATTTATCATCATAGCAAGTGTGTATATTTTATGCCTTATTATGTAATTTTAGTGAGCATGTCTCAGACTTCTAGAAACTAATCACCAGGTTCTTATAAAACCAGATTTACACTAGTCTAGTGATACCGCTATTTTAAAAAAACTCTTTTACAGATTTATTTTTGATAAAAACTAAATTTTACCATTCTAGATATTAATTACTTTTCAGAAAATATTCCAGCTTTTATCTTGTTTTATAAAACAAATAGAAGTTCTTGCTTGGTAGAGTTGTCCTCACTCACTTCAAGGCCAACAGTGCGATAATTTTTCTTTTCAAATCATCCTTTCAAAAAAGTTCTCTTATTTTTGCAGAAAAAATTGTCCTAATTTACTGTTTCTGCAAAGTTAAACTAAACATGATGTCGAAATATGACTTTATAAAAGTTACATCATTCTGTTCACATATACTTTAAATAGAATTTCAAACAACGACAGAACATATTATCTGTTATTAATGAGGTAGCATTGCTTTAATTATATATACATGTGCATTGTTCATTCTTGCGGTTTATCATCCCTGGCATGATTATTTCACCTCTATGAGACATTACCGGATTCAGGCGAATGGCGAAACGGCACGCAAGACTATTGAGTAGTAAGTTTTTTAAGTGCGTAAACGCTCGCCGTAACACATATAGTCACTTGTAATTAGTATTAAGAGGTCTTAATTGACAAAAAAATCTTTCACTCCACACTGCTTGCGAAGGAACAGTTGCTGTCCATATTTTACCGACGTAGGTTTGGCTTGGGATCCACAGTACAACGTTTGGATCAGAGCGACCAATCTTACGACAGAGCTACAGTGGCCACTTACGTGCACAACATGATACGTTGATGTTGATCAAGTGGCATCAGGGAACTGTAATAGGGAATGGAGAACAATTTTTGATATAATACATTTTTTTTTATTTTTAGTTATGGAAAAACTAGAAAGAAATACTAGTATAGTGCTGATAAGGAAGTATAAACTACTGAGTTAATACTTTAATTTTTTTTTTCAATAGATTTTCCATTAGGAAACACGAAAAAATATCCAAAGTCAGAAAATTTAAGAAAAAATCAAGTTCTTCTTTATACTCATTTATAAAGTAGCTTTAAGTTTGTAAATTATCAAACAAATATGTATTGTTTCATTACTAAAAACAATGCTTATTCTTGTTTCAAGAGCCTTTAATAATCATTGCACATTTGAATGAAAGAATTTTCTATTTTAGGCCTATATAAATCGTAATTAATAAAATAATGGAAAGCCGCTTGGTCTTTCACTATATATTTACGTAAAACATACTGGTATTTTGATACATTTATTCTGAGTAACAACATCAGCAATGAGCAAACACACGGTAAGTTTATTCTGTTACATTAATTGCTAATAACATCCTTTGTCTGAAAACATAGGTGATTTGTCACAAAATGTCCTTTTTCAGGTACGATGCATATCATAGAGGTATGTGTGCAGAAATGTCGGCTCCTTTCAGCATCGTGTATGAATATCACAATGTCAAGCCTTCATTTCGATTTAAATAATGAAGATGGATGTGATTTAGATGGCAGGAACAGGAATGCCTTCATCTGAAATTAAAACAAATTTCCATTTAATCATTTTTTTCTAAAATTAAACTAAATACAAAAAGATGAAGATTATGAACAGTGTTTGACCCTAAAAAATCTATAAACAATACAGATCTGTGAAGAGAGCAAAAATCATTGTAAAGAGAGCAAAAATCATTGTAAAGAGAGCAAAAATCATTGTGAAGAGAGCAAAAATCATTGTAAAGAGAGCAAAAATCATTGTGAAGAGAGCAAAAATCATTGTAAAGAGAGCAAAAATCATGGACCTCTGGAAATTCCTGAGATGGGGTCATGTGCCCAGGAGGAGTAAGCATACTCTGTTGACCAGTCACACCCGTCATTTTCCTTCAGTATTGATCACGTAAACGGAAAAACTTAGTGATAAAAACAAAGGCGTGACAATTGATAGGAAACAAGTCAACCAAACTACGATTCAATGGAAAGTTAAATTTACTGATATGGTCATTCTAACGACCGTGGAATTTTCCAGTTGCATATATGGGTCCAACAATTGAAGTGAAAAAAATTAATGGCCAAAAAAAATGCTAAAGAAGTCACTAGGTGTAAACCAAGAAGAGCTTGAGTGGGTAGAGGACATCCATCTTTAAAAAATCAAACGGCAAACTTACCTATCATAACTGCCTGTCTGACGGTTTTAGGACAACAAATGGGAATCATCTGGCCAGAGTACAAACTGCAGGTCCAACCAGGTTGGCAAGCATTGGGAATGTTTCGTTGACATGGCATTTTCCTCATGTCAGAGTTGGGGGTGATGTCACAAGCTTGATATTCAGCCAATTTATTGTGGCATAAAATAGCACCTTTCATCATCTTGAGTTCTGTAAGTTGAAAAGGTTTAGACTGATGAGAAGTGTGATCAGAGCGCATGTAATTGTCTTTTGTTGGGTTACTTTTTACGTTTTACAAAACATTTAAAACTGTGAAGAAATCCCAAGAGAATAAGAATTATGCAAATTTTTCATATAATATCAAGAAATACAAAACATATATTTGAGAAACGCGTCTTCTGACCTTCATCTCATGTAGATTTTAAAAACTTTGTTGCAAACAAATTGTTTTCACATTTCTACTATCAACTTACCTAATCCTTGGGCCATAGCATTAGCACGAGCCATAGTACCATCTGTCATCATTTTCATAGCTGTCTCATTTCCTGGAGCCGGAGGCACAATTCCATTGCAAACAAATTTTTTGGCAAACGGAGGAATTTCTGAAAGTGAAAGTTTTTTAAAATTTATTTTCAAAGAGCAATACCAAAAGTATAACTTTTGATTTTCTCCAAACTAGAATATCATAAATACATGTAAATGCAAAATTTAATATTTTACCTATTCCAGCTTCTTGTGGATTCATTGCCTCTAAAACTCTTGTATTTATACGCCTTTGGAGCATTTGATTCATCATTCCGACCAAAGGATTCGCTCCAGTCATGGAATTTCCTGACGTCCATGTGTTCATTCCAGCATTCTGGCCAGTTCCTGGCATCGAATTAGCATTCATGGTTGGCTGAAGCGATGGGAACTGAACTCTGAATAAATGTTCAGCTTGTCTTTCTGTCATCATTGACAATTGTTCCGGGGAAAGTTGTGATACCTCTGCAGGAACATTGTTACCGAACCATTGGCTGTATTCTGGATTAGCCGCTGGATTAGTACCTGCAGAGGATGTGGGGTTGCTGGCAGGTGGGTTATTGGCCTGGGCAGCAGTGGGTACCGGTGCTTGGGCCTTGCTATTTGAAGGTGTATTGGATGTCATGGCTTGCTGAGTTGGAGAGTTATTAAAGGTTGATTGAACAACTGGTATGGATGATGGAACTACCACTTTTGGCTTAGTTTGAGGTGGTTCAGCTCTCGTACCTGTATTAGCATTGTTTGGCGAAGGTTCTGGTCCAACTGCTACAATTCTCGGAGCACTTTTTTCAGGTGGTGCATGTACTTTAATAGAGGGATGAAAACCATTCGATGATGATGGGAGCAGTTCTTTATTGGTCTTTAGCACCTGTCCTTGTCCTAGTGCACCTGAAATTTGTTGAGATAAAGATGTAAACGTCTTCTGTTTAGGTTGCTGGCTTGTTTTGGAATTGGTGTCTGTTCTTGATAAAAGATTTGGTCCTTGCTTTTTAAATAGGTCTTTCATGCTAAAACTGGGACCTAGTCCCAGGTTTAATATTGTTCGATGGTCGTTAATTCCACTTTTATTAGTTCTAACTGGCATATGACTGAGACTCTGGCAATTTATATCTGAAAATATACTAAATAAAGTAACTCCAGGGAAATAGCCTTTAAGAAGCATACAAGGAATATAAATTCTATGAGACCCCCTTTACCCTTTGAAAATGTTTTTTAAAATGTTCCTGTTAGTGGAAAATTCCGAATTATTGCCATATATAAATGGTCCTCTCTCAATGTAAGTTACGGTTTTCATTTTTGAAATCCATTTTGGATTATTACTTAACAATACAATGGATTTAAGTTTTCCCATAATAGCCCACTAAACAATAGATAATAGAGCAGTTCTTTTACCGCTGTTGTCTCATTTATCTTCACAAATATCAGTTGTTGTGGTAGTTTGTGTATAATTTTAATCGAGGAAAAGGACCAGTCGTAAAATGCAACTAATGAGATAATAATGGTAGATATCGTTGTTTGTGCTGCAAGGCATACAGCAAGAATCTAACAAGTGGATTATTTTTAAATTAAAATGAGAATTAATTAAGGCTGGTTCTGGTTTGTATACGTCACTCCGTGTCATTTAAATAAGTTTACGCTGCTCTTGTTCAAAACAACTATTAATTTGCTTCCGGGATCTAATTAATTTTCCTTGATGAGGAATTAGTGCGGAGAAAATATCAATTGTCTAGATTTGTGTAATTATAAGATTTTATTATATTTAGTGATCGTTTCTTTCTATTTTATGACAGATTGATTGATATATTTGTTAGAAAGTTTTATTTATCCTTAGCTGAAAAAAAAATGTTTGTTAGTATAGTCTCTTTTGAGTAATACTGGGCAGTACTAGTATACAATGTATACTGTGTACAGAGTATATTTTTTCCTATCTAATATTCAAAATGTTTACTCTTGTGAAGCATTTACCTTAGATAAATTAAAAAAAACATGTACATGTATATATTTAAAGATTTACAATACTTGAAAGAAAATATAATTCAAACTTACAGAAAATAATGATTGATTATTTATACTCAAACTTCTTATGAAGTCTTCTTTATTATCTTTTAAAAGTCAAATAACAATACTTACATGTGAGACTGGACAATAATAAGATACACAAAGTTCCCTTCATTTTCGAAAAAGTTCTAAAATCCAAGTAAACGAAAGTAAAATTAATCTTAACAGTAGCAACTTCTAAACACAGTCTGCCGACGCCAACCTCTTGGTTTCATTAAAAAATGACTGGGTCATTAACATAAACGTGATGACAGCTTGTTTAATTGATGAAACAAACACTTCAAATGCATATGTATTTTAAATTGTCATAATTTATTTCCCATTATAATCTTGTCATTTGAACTATACATATTATAATTATGACGCAAATTGCAACAAATTATGAGTTTGTGGTCATCATACATTTTAAATAATGTATATTTTGTTTCTTTTCTTTTATAGTACTAGATTTTTAAAGTAACAAATTAAACTGACTGATACTTATGAGATCTTAATTACAATGTATGAAATTTAAAAGAGACTAATAGGCCCCTGTCTCTTGACACTCGGCTTAGCATCAAGATTACTTTCAAATACAGGATACTTTTCTCATGTACAAGTTTCTCATGTTGCTTTGCTACAATTTAATGGTAAAAGTTGTTTTGTAAAAACCTACCAGTAAACAATGATTGATTTCCATGCAAAAAACCTCAAAAAGATTTCAAACCCTTTCTGAAAAATTTGTATTTCATCAGATAAATTTGGTTTGCATTATTTTTAAATATTTATCCATCTCTTAGATTATGAAATTAAAAATGATGAAAGTCAGTCACAAAGTTTTAAAAATAACATATGTAGATTTCCTTTTTTTCATCTTCAAGGTTAGGAATGCATGAACATATCTCACAACTAACTTGTTATTTACTCGTTTCTATTTTTAACATGTTAGCTCTAACAAGGACCTGATCCTCTTGTCTAAAATTTATTAACTTTAGAGAAAAATAACAAAATGTTGCTTACAATTTTTCAAGCAAATGTTTGTGTTCTAAGTGTAAAAAGAATCTTATCAGACTGTTATTTTCTTCCAAAAGTGATAATCTAGCATCAAACTTGGTGGAGACGCGTGAATCCTGGGTCAAGGAGTAGACTATAAGAATAAGAAAAACGTGCAATTTGCATGTAATAAGTCATATGTATGAAGCAATGAACTAATCAATCTAAAATTACATCGAATTTCAATAATTTTAACTTTTGAAATTAGCTATAAGCATGATGAGAATAACAATGAAAAAACTGAAAATGGATATTTTCTTTGATTATATCTATAATCTATCCCTAAATTATGATATTTTTAAAGGCATATAATCTTATGTTGAGGTAAAAATTATTTTTGTTTCTTAAAGAGATAGGCCTATGGTCTTTAAAATGTATAAGTTGATTACGATAGAAAAACAAATACGACCAGGGGTATTTTAATATCAATTGTCAGACCATTAATTTGAATTGCATATGGGTTTTCCCGTTTGCTTGATCAGGAGTACGTTGTGAGTTTTCAAAAGGGGATGCTCACCTCCATTACATCTAATCTCGCCCCTGATGTTTTAGAGATCCGTGTTTGTTGTGCTAGTGATTTGCATCGTTTCAATCGAATTTTGAGTTTAATAACTTTTTGAGTTTGATAACCGTTACCTCAGTAAAAGTACAATAAAATTTGTCGGATGAGGACTCTAAGTACTCCAGAATTTTGTTTATGTCGGATATGAATTTTATTCCCATGCAATCTTTATAATGTACTGTAAAAAACTCTTGTTTAGTCTGCATTTCATTTAATGAATGCAGAAATCGACTCATGTACTTTTATTCCGTAACTTTACTAACAGGAAACATGAAAGATCTGTAGAACATCACCAAGAAGCTAGCTTGGAAGCCAGTGAAAGACAAGGCAGGGAAACAACTAGAAGGGGAGGAAGAACAAAGAAGGAGATGGAAAGTGCATTTTTGTTGAATTTAGTTCCACATAATTCAAGTATTACACCAGCAGACGAAAACCTAGAATAGAGTGGGGGACCATCTACTTAGGAGTAAAATAAATAGCCTTAAAACAGATGAGGAATGGCAAGCCTGATAGCATCCCGGCCGAGGCACTTAAAACTGATATTGACAACTCAGCCGACGTATACCACCCGCTTTTTCTAAAAATATGGGGGGTAGAAACAATTCCAGAAGAATGGAAAGAAGGATACCTCATCAAGCTTCCAAAATGGAGACCTCAGTGATTTCTACAAGGGGAATTCTTGATGTTCCAGGGAAGGTATTCAATAAGATCATACTGAACAAAATGAAAGAAGACGTGGATGATAAGCTACGTGACCAATGCTTGCGCGTGGGTACCAACGGAAGCGGACACACTCGTAAAAGCAAGAGTAGGAAAGGCCAGAGTAGCATTCCTGCAACTTGGAAATATCAGGAAGACCAAGGAAATTACAACACGCAGCAAAGTTAGGCTTTTTAATAGCGACATTAAGGCTAACCTTGGTTATATTCTGAGATATAGAAGACGACTGTATAACAGGATCCTGACATCCATCAACTCTTGTCTGAGACCCATCCTCCAGACTACTGTAAACCAACTTTCATTCGCGACAACTTTATATCGTTTTGATGGAATTTTACGATTAATTTTCGCGATCAAGCATTTTTGGATATGTGGTTAATAGACATATACACTTAAAGGACCGGTTCGCGGCGAGAAATATTCGCGATGAAAAGGCTCTCGCGAAGAAAATTTCTCGCACGCGAATAAAAGTTTTTTATCAAAATCAGCTAACATATTTGTGGCAAAGTACAAATCAAGCCCCTTCAGAAAAAGAAATAATGCAGAGAAGGTGGAAGTGGGAAGTGGATAGGATATACTCTACGCAAGGCCCACAATAACATCACAAGGCAAACATAAGAGAGGCAGTCCAAAAGGGTTCCCGGCATAAGTTAGTAAGTAACTAATACAACTCACGAAGTGTATCGGCTTACAATTATTGCGACAAAATGGTCAATTTTTAAAAACAATGGTTTTATATGAGATTTGTTTCAAGGAGTGTTTCAGGAGCATGAACAACATCTCATGATCAAGGTCGGTGCAGTACGGCACCAACACCAAACGTTATATCAGAGCTGCATCGTATCTACACTGAGTCACTATATGGATCTACGGGTGTTAATGATTGAAGATGAAGAAGCCAACCCTATCAAGCGTTGATTCTTTGAATATTCCCGCCAAAACAGACCTCCAGTGAAAAACTGTTTATTAATTGCATACAGGAGGACATGGGTACCATCAATATCAGGAGATGGAGATTACAGGTGTTTCGGAAAGAGTTTTGATCGATCAGTCAATCAATCAGTCTCAAGAAGAGCGTTCTACTAGACCCCAAATGAAAAGAGAAAGAATGGAAGACTGAGAACACAATATGGAGAAGGACTTTGAAATAAATAAGAACCATACAGCACCCTTTGGGTATTGCTGACAAGATTAGTCCAAGACAGGCGGAGATGGAAAGACTTTTTTGCTGCCCTTGACACTAGAAGAGTATAATGAAAGATGATGATGACCACGCAGGCAAGCTCTTGAGGACAATTAACAATTAAATTAAAGAGAAAAAAAAACATGTTCTGATTTTTATTTAGTAAATGATACGTTCTGTAATATTCAAAGTTAAATCGATAAAAGTTCTATATACCTGAAATAAAAGCAGAAAGCTGTTACTAATACATGAGATACATAATTTTTATCTAATTTTATACTTCATAAATATTAGAGCCATTATGTTGTACATCATTCATAGCGTCATTATCTAAATCATATCATTTTACACTACAACATGCAACACTAGTAAGTTCAATTCTGTGTCTAAATTAAAATATGTATTTTTTTCTTGTAATTTTTTTTATTAACTAAATAACAAAAATTTAAGTAAAGAGGTAATTTGATATAAACATGCATAAGCTTTTGTCTGCCAGCCTTAGGTAGTATGACATGCAATTTTTATGAATTTTAAGGCAAGGAATTTTTCTTTAATTTGCATGGCAATGAAATGCCAGTTTTCAATTTTATTTTAATAATCATGATATTCTGTGATATTTTCACCTGAATTAATGTAAAATAATTGAAATAACTTAAATCTAGGGTTCAGCTTTTTTTGGAGTATTTGGTGATATTGGGAACATATTATCATGTTTGAAAAAAATCTTATTTCCTGTTATCAAGTGGGCAAAATGGTAACATAAAATTCACATTTGTTATTTGATTCAACTATACATTGTAAATATTATATTTCAAAAATTAACATCATTGCTTTTGTTGTGTTGTCAGTAATTTGTTGACAAAGGATCAAATTCAGTTTCACTTTACGTAAAATGAGTCGATGTTGAAAGTTTTTTTTTTTCAAATAAAACTTTCGATTTATGTATCTTTATCTAATTTTCAATTTTCTGTCATTAAATTGTTAAAATAGAATTGGAATAAAAAATCTTATAAATATATGAGAACTTGTTATTCATATATTCGAACAGTTGTGATTCTTATTTGAAAAAAAAAAATTCTTATTGTATTTCTGAAATATATTCTATTTATAAATAAAAATCTGCACATTTGCTTTAAAGTAGTCATAATGCAAATTTTTATTGATATATACGAGATCTCAGAGAGACAAAATTCTAACCTTTTAATTCCTTAATACCCGAGAACGTTTGATTTTTATTTATTTATTTTTTTTATCAAAAGAGTGAAAAGACATCATTTTTATCTATAATCTTGTGTTTTTAATCATAAATCTTGTTGTATAGCTAGTACATGTATATGTTATTTCATTTATATTCTTTTGCTTATTTATTATGTAAATTATCGCATACTAATATAAATGATATATCAAATATGAATCACATGATAATTGAAAATGAATTATAATTGTGCATCTAAATGATTTGGAATAAGAATACTGCAACTTTTCCTTAAAAAAAATCGCAGGATTCCGCGTAAAAATCACATTTTTACAAAAGAAAAACAAGATGTTTTTGTTTTGGCAACAAATTTTATTTTTAGCATATAGGTCACAAGGTCATTGATCTTAGTGTCATTTGAAAGAATATGATTAGTTAAGTAGGCATACCAAATATGAAGTCTCTTTCTCTTATGGTTCAGAAGTTATGATGACGGTTCAAAAAAGCTATTTTTAGCATATGGGACACAGTCAGGGTC